GGAAATTAGGTCATTTAAAGTTCGCGGTTCATCTATGGTGGCTAATTCGTCCTTTAATGAGTCGTTAAGTGCGTGAAAAAACACACTTTTCTGGGATGACTCATTCCAACCCGAGGAAGCAGCTTTGATTCTAAAATCAACTGCAAAGTCTGCCACAGATCTGGAACCTTGCTTTATATTCAAAAGACTTCTTGAACTAGATGTGCTCTCCGGCTCTTGATTGAAAGTCTGTTTAAATTCAACCAGGAATTCATTGAATGAACAACCGAAGTTGGTTGGATCTTTGAACCTGGCCTCTGCCCATTCCAGAGCTCTTCCTGTCAGGTGAGAAATGATGAAGGAGATTTTTGCTCCGTCATGAGCAAAACTACGTGGGGAGTGATTGAACGCTAGAGAACATTGTAACAGAAATCCACCACACCGATTGACTTCACCTGAATACTTCTCTGGATTGGGCGGACGGGCCTCAGAAAACCCGGAGTGGACTAGGGGAGTGGGTTCTGGAGCGGGTGCTGGAGCTGGACCGGGATCAAGAACAACCGGAGCTGCTGCAGCCTCAGCGCCCTGTTGAAGAGCCCTTTGTAACAGGTTAGCCAGGTGATCAAGTCGCTGATTAGTCTCACTTTGCTGATTCCCTAAGATTCTTAAAGCGGCTTCATGTGATTGGATGAGCGTATTTTGTTCGGCCAAAGATCTCCTTAATGCGTCTGCTGGGTCAATGGGTTGGCTTGAGTGTTCTGTCATATTTGAAGCAACACGCCTGACCCACATGCAGGCGCACAAACAAGGAGAAGCGATTTGGAAAAATGAAATAAGTTTATGGAACAAAAATAAATAGAAATTCTGTGATGTGTCTCGGAGGGGGGTCTTGGGTGAGGGTCGTCTCCGTGCTAAATACGGTGAGAGATGAGGTAAGTGAAATAATACGGAAAAAAATCAACAGAGTACAGGAACGGGCTTACTGGTAAGGATGTGGTCTCCGCTGGGAGGAGGGGGGGAGTGACTGACAGGTGGAGGGGTCGGTCCAGATCCGAGGGTTGGCGTCAGATGGGTTTGCCGTTGGAGGGCAGGCAGGTAAAGAGCGGGTCTCGGCCAGTCTCGGCAGTTCTTGGATCAGGCTTCACGGTCTCAGGAAGAACTTCTCCGCGGCTCCGCGGGAGATAATCCTGTGAGAGAGAAATTTCAGAATAGTCTCTAGTTGCTTGCAAACACGCACAACAACACCGACACCAGGTTCAGAGGGGGCTCTGAGTACCATTGAAGGATAACACTCAAGCGCTGGAGAACCGCCTGCCCGCTCTTCTTATGCTGGCTGCGATGATGCGATTACGCACAGGTGCGCGGGATCCACCCTCCAACGACTGCCACCCTCTGGCTCCATCTGGTGGGAAAGAAAAGGTTCCCCACCCAGCCTAACTCCAACACCCGACAGTCTGTGTTTATATAGGAATTCCATGTTCAGATAATGTCGGTTCTGGACTTATGCCTTCCTTTATTATCCTAAAAACTAGGCAGAAAAACTGGGAGTAAAAACAGAATGAGAACATGAAGTTCTCATTGTGAAGACAACATGATGAGAAAAAGTGGTCAGTTCCCTGCAGTCTGAACCTATACAATGATAACTTTAAACTTATCGCAAGAAAAGCAAACCCACACAAATTATTAGCTCATCAGAAAGGTAAATGTACTTCAATAACATCCTATTTCAGAAAAATAAATTCTGAGATAAGGTAAAAGTGAATGGGAAAAGCTTGTTTACCTCACTATTCTAATTCACCCTAAAGCTGTTATTTCAGGTTACATCATCCACTGCGACCATTCAGGTTCTTCAAAATCTTACTCATACATTCAGTTCTATAGACCTTGCTTTGTGCAGTGGTAATCAGTCATGTTCTACCTGAATGGGGATATCTCTAAACTGCTTCACAGAGTTAAGAACATGAAATTGGCCAAAATCTTGTCATATCATGTTCAAAGAGTTTCTTTCAGTAACTGCAAAACTACAGCCATCAGTTGCAAATGCTAGACTTGACAGAATGCAGCCCGACAAGTATCAGTTTTCTTGCAACTACCAAGTCCAAACTAGGTCATTAGATTTACCCAGGAAGAGAGTTATGATACATCTAGAGAACAGATCTCCCTGCTCTGGAGTCCAGTGACAGCAAAAGTTACACTTTTGCATTTAGCACTTAATGTAATGAGGATTTAGCTACTTGGCCAAGGAAACCTATTCCATAAAAATCTCTGCACCTTTTTCTTGTGCTAATCTAAAGGCCACATGAAGTTTTATCAGTGCATCTAGTGAATCTGCAAGTTGAAGATTTCTGCTTAATATGTTCCTCACTATCTGCTTACTCCGGTCTGTAACTTTACGAGGCTACAAATTTGTTACTGACATTCCCAGTAACTTCCATGTTCTTATAATTAACAGATGTATGGGGATGGAAATTTCATATATCGGCCCTCCAGTCATGAAAGACTGACCTACAAAGAGCACAGAGACTGAGATCAAAACTCTGAAATACCCCAACCCATTGCATGAATCCATTTTCAGTTTCTGAAGAGATCATATTGGAGAATCAGAAGGCGCAAACTCTTGATTATATAAATAATACTCAGAGCCATATCCTTTACTCCCAGCCACGACGGGTAGGGAGATTTATTATCACTTCGACCACGGATGCATCAGTACAAAATCAAAGTTCCAAAAGTCTTTCCCCAAAATCTCTCTGAAATCTCCACAACTTTTTTTATACTTCCCATTTTCCATTGGTGTGTGATGGGAAGTCTTGACTGACTTAGTTCTATGTCAACTTTCTGGCAGACTGTGTGTGTTGGACTTCCAAGAACCCAATCGAATCTCGTGACCTAAACATCTGCTCCATTTCGGAATTGCCAAAATAAGTCAATTAATCAGAAATTGTTGTTCTTATCTATCTAAACAGCTTATTTCCCAAGTCATATTTTGGTCCAACTTTGTGCTTTGCACACAAGGGAGGAAAGTTATCAGGTCATTATGACCCAGTTAGGCGCCAGAATCTTTCCGCAAAAACAAGTCCATAAAAGTATTCCGCTCTTACAATCATGACCATATGACTTGGTAAAAAAAAAACTCTGAACCACATCAAGTTTTGCCCCTCCCAGACCCCACAAACTGCATCAGTGAGGACACTGACCTGAAAGGAAGACTGCACATTCAAAGAAACCTTGCATCCAAAACTGATGCCTGCAGTTTGCTAAAATGCCACAGAGGAGTCAGGTTTTGACTACAATAATTGTTTAGGGCAATATAACTAGTAATTTTGATTAAAAATGCTAAGTTGAACCACCACTCGATTATTGAGAAAATATTGTTCAGCCTCAGTATTCATAAATACTTGTCTGATAAGGCAATAGATAAAGGCGTAAGTTCATCACTGGCGTTATCTGAACAGCAAGATGCTATACAGGTATGTGAAATAAAATGGAGACAGCTTCTCTGAAATATACAAGCATTATTAACCAAACAAACTAAACATTACAATGAAAACATTTTAATCACCAAACTCGATTAAAATAAAGCATCTTAAGTTACAACAGTAAAAATATAAAAATAGAACCAATAAAATAATGCAATGATGTTACAGATATTGAGAAAACGGATGAGGCATTTGCAGTGTTAAATAATTTTGGATAATTCAGATTGAAAACATTGCTGTTTTGGTCCATCACACAGCAATGCCAGAAATATGGAACAAATAAAACATCTTATTAATTTAGAATAGTCTAAAGTAAAGTCACTGTCCAGTATGAATAATCAATTTTATTTATAAAGCTTTTTATATCTTTAATTGAAATCTCAAATGGGCTCATTCAGACACTGAAGATGGCAAGCTACTGGATTGTAGCTCCATCTGCTCTGTCATCAGCCTTTCTGACCAACACTAGCGGCCAGCAAGGTGGGTGAAGCGTCTTGCCCGGGAACACAAACGATGAGGGCAAGCAGACCAGGAATTGAACAGAATATTTAACAACAACTATGCGTGGCTAGAATAAGCCACTTTGGAAATAGATGGAGTTTTGTGAAACTCCATTTAACAGTGGAGATGAAGAGGCTAGCAGCCAACATTGATTGCCGATGGCAATCCTAGGGAACCTATGATTCCAAGGTTTCTTCTGCAGAATTCTACTTAAATCAAAAGTGCTGCAAAAAGAACGACTGTTGTCTTAGTCCTGTGTTTTAATCTCCCCGTGATCAGAGTTTCTTCGATGAAACTTCTTCTCTTTTTGTTGAATAGGTTAATGAAGATTATTGTTTCAACAATGTTTTTTAAGCCTCCTGTATTCATGACTGGGGGTTCAACACAGTAATTTGCATGCATTAATGCTGGATTTCCTTCATTTGTTGCCATGGAAGTCATTGGAAGATTTGTTGATTTACCTGGCTGAGCCAACATTTTTGGTATTTTGAGTGCGTAGTAAAACATGTGGCCCAAGCATAGAACCTGTGGTACGCAATAACTAACTGTGTGTGGTCCGCTTCAACATATACATCATCTGTACTTGGCCACACTGTTACATACCTGCCAAAGTGAAATAACTGCTGCGTTAATCAGTTGCATTTAGAAAGGTATTGGCTTTAAAAATCGGCTAAATTAAACTGTCAAATTGTCAAACCATGAAATCATTTGCTAGTTTCAATAGCATGAAAGTGTGTAGCATGAAAGACCAATCCAGTCCAGACTATGTAAAACAGTGAAAAACCACAGGACCATTATACTTAAAATGCAATGTTGACCTTCATGAGAGCCAAGGTTTCAATAAAGTAATTTCATTTGATTTCTAAATTAGGCATGTACTTTTTCTATTATTGATGTGACAGAGTTGACAGAAAAAGCTACACCTTGAACATGCTCACTGAACCGAGAAATGCCAAACCTTATTCAAACATCTGTAGACATTGACATTTTTTGATAATACAAGTTCATAAAAGGTGTACTATCTGATCCTTCCTCCTCCAGGTGCGCTGTCTCAGTTGTCAGACAGTGGTCAGACTCTGAGTGAAGACAGCGGTGTAGATATAGGAGAGACTGGCGGTCTTACTAAGGATGGCAGCCCAAGACCAACCAAGAATAAGCAGGGTCATCTGGAAATTCAAGGGGCCCACATCTCTCCTATAGGGGCTACAAGACAAGTAAGGATGTCATCAATCAAGATTATTTGTCTAGCACATTTCAGCAACAAGGTAGTTAAAAATACTTCACATCATAAAAATGTACAAAAAATACAATTAAAGGTTATAGAGCACAGTCAATAATTGTCAAGTGGCTTCGTTACACATCAAATGTTGATTAATGTTTCATTTATAATGTTTCAAAAGCAACTCTAAACAGGTGGGTTTTTAGTCTTGGTTTAAAATAACTCAGTGTTTCAGCTGTTTTACAATTTTGCAGAAGTTCGTTTCCCCCAATTTGTGCTGCATAGAAGCTGAATGCTGCTTCTCCATGTTTGGTTCTGGTTGTGGAGATGCAGAGCAGAACCGAGGTAGAAGAGTAGATTACATTAAATATTTCTGCTGTGTTGACTGTGAAATAATATTTTGGGATAGTAGCTGTTTGGCTAAGTGAGTCAATGGATAAAGTACTTTCAAAGACAACAACGAAATGATCAGACAATGTGACATCAGTTACAGAGACATTGGAAATATTCACACCCTTACAGATAACCAGGTTCAGTGTGTGTCCTTGAGTGTGTTATTTGTTTAAAAATGCTGAATTAGACAAAAATTATCGAGTATATTACCCAGCTGTTTTGCCTCTCTGTCTTCGGGGTGGGCTACGTGGATGTTGAAATATCCCGTAATTATTAAACAGTCATGTCATAATTAGTGCATATGAGAGATAAAAGTTCATTGAAGTTAGTAAAGAAATTTCCTACATATGTTGGGGTTTTGTGTACAGTTAGTGTCAGGTTTCGTTTATGGTCTTTTACCTCAATTCCCTGATGTTCAAGAGTCAAAATGCCCTAAAAAGACATTCTTACAGTTTAGCAAATCCTAATATGTTGTAGTAACTCCTCCTCCTTTGTAATGTTTCTGTTCTCACTTAAAAAATTGTAATTACCAACTCTGATTCAGATAATACAGGTGATTCAGTACTGTCATCCAACCATGTTACTGTCAGGAACAAATAGATTTACACAAGTTAAATAAAGAAAATGATATTAGATTCATATTTCTTAAAAGATACAGACACAATTGCAAAGACAATGTCTGGCACCCAATCTTAGACCTCAGAAATGATTGGACAGTGCTCTGGGGAATCAGTCAGGTGGTCTTGTATTTCAAACACTAAGAGAATAAGCAATTTTATCTGAGAAACATGCTTTTTGGGAGCTCAGGAGAGAAGTACCCAGCAAAACTTGACAATTCAATTCAATTAAGAATCATCAATTTAGGTGACAAAATTTCTGATGAGCTGTCCTGGCATTGATAAGATGAGGCCTTTGATAAATAGTCTTAGTTTTCAGTAGGTGCTGAAAATTGTTGGGGGTGTGGAGCCGTCCTGGCCTTGATGATGTTCCTATTCTTCAAAGCTTTTCTGTTTTTATTCTGCTCAACATTAAAACCCAATTTTACTTTTCTCCCCTGGACCACCATTTCTCCTCTGTAATTCTTAATATATCTCAGCATCAAACACATTAATAGATAGACAATAGCAATATGTCAATATGTCATCATCACCATCATCGCCTGTGGACAGATCAAACAAATCTGAAATATTCAAAGTAGGATGAACTGCCTCCACTCATTTGAACACACTACTGGCTCCAGGTTTTAAATTTTATCAATAAACATGAAACAAATGATTTCATCAATAAAATAATTTGCCTACTGATCTTGTCAGTAGGCAAATGATGTACCACAGTGCATCGCCTGCTTACCTTTTCTTCATCTTTTTTCCCAGCAGATAAGCTCACCTCTTTCAGCACTAAACACTGCCATAGTCAGGGTGGTGAAAAATTCCAACACGTTGGGCATTGCTATAGAGGGAGGAGCCAATACAAGACAACCTTTGCCACGCATTGTGACCATTCAGGTAAGACAGCAAAAATAATTGGTACTGATTAAGAGTCCAAGCCATGACTTGTCTAGCATATTTTGGTTTAATAAGAGACAAACAAAGTTGGGACAATGTACAAAATAATTGCCATCTCTCTGCTTCAGTAAGCTTTTCTATTATTAGCTGACATTTACACCATTCAGTGCAGTTTATTAATTCAAATCCATTTGGGACCAGGTGTATGACAGAGGATCAGGAGTGATAACATTCTGTCTGAACACCTAATCCTCCAACACTCTCCAGTCTTCACTCTGGTTAGACTTTTTTTCTGTGACAGTGTGGACAACCAGTCTATTTTTTTATCAGTCTTTCTGATTGTCAGGTCATCAAGGTATTTTATTAAGTAGAACCAGAAAATCTAACCAGATGCATGAATAATCTTTGCTGACTAGAAGCTACTAGCTACATATAATTAAGCAGATAATTATTTCCACAATAATTCATATTATTTACATTTTCTTTGAGAAAATTTAAATGTTGTGACCTATGAACTGGAAAAATTTCACATTTCAATGTGATATTCAAAAAGTCCATGAAGCTCTGACACATGATACTTGACTTCACTGTCTTCTATGGCCTCATGGATATGATGGAATTGACTTCAGAATACATACAGACACTAACTCAGAAATGGAGCAGAATTAAAATGTAATCAACTGAAATGGACATCGAGTAATCACTGGAATTCAAGGATTTATATATATATATATATATATATAATATATATATATATATATATATATATATATATATTAACATTTTGAAATCAAAATTCATATATATATATATATATATATATAATATGTCATATATATACTGGAATTCATATGTCATATATATACTGGAATTCAAGAATTTATATATATATATAAAATTAAAATAAAATTCCCTTCTCACCCACCGCGGGTGGTTCTTATCCTCTGAGCTCGGGTCCTCTACCAGAGGCCTGGGAGCTTGAGGGTTCTGCGCAGTATCTTGGCTGTGCCAAGGACTGCACATTTCTGGACTGAGATGTCTGATGTTGTTCCTGGGATCTGTTGTAGCCACTGCTCCAGTTTGGGGGTTACTGCCCCGAGGGCACCGATGACCACAGGCACCACTGTGGTCTTCACCTTCCAGGCCCTCTCCAGTTCCTCCCTGAGGCCCTGGTATTTCTCTAGTTTCTCGTGCTCCTTTTTCCTGATGTTGCAATCACTTGGTATTGCTACATCTACCACAACGGCTTTCCTCTGATGTTTATCCACTACGACAATGTCTGGTTGGTTCGCCATTACCATTTTGTCTGTCTGGATCTGGAAGTCCCACAGGATCTTAGCTCTGGCGTTCTCCACCACCTTTGGGGGTGTTTCCCACTTTGATCTCGGGGTTTCCAGTCCATATTCTGCACAGATGTTTCTGTACACTATGCCTGCCACTTGGTTATGTCGCTCCATGTACGCTTTCCCTGCCAGTATCTTGCACCCTGCTGTGATGTGCTGGACTGTCTCAGGGGCCTCCTTGCACAACCTACACCTTGGGTCTTGTCTGGTGTGGTAGATCTGGGCCTCTATTGCTCTGGTGTTTAGGGCCTGTTCCTGGGCTGCCAGGATGAGGGCCTCTGTGCTGTCCTTGAGTCCAGCTTTTTCCAGCCATTGGTAGGATTTACTGATATCAGCCACTTGGGTTATTTGCTGGTGGTACATCCCATGTAGGGGTTTGTCCTCCCATGATGGTATCTCTGGCACCTCAACCTCCGTTCCCTGTTGTCTGAGACATTCACTGAGCACATTGTCTGTTGAGGCTTTGTCCCTGATGTATTTATGGATCTTAGTTGTTTCGTCCTGGACAGTGGTTCTCACACTCACTAGTCCTCTGCCTCCTTCCTTGCGGCTCGTGTACAGTCTCAGGGTGCTGGATTTGGGATGGAACCCTCCATGCATTGTTAGTAGCTTTCTGGTCTTAATATCTGTGGCTTTTATCTCCTCCTTTGGCCAGCTAATTATTCCAGCAGGGTATCTGATTACTGGCAAGGCATAGCTGTTTATCGCACATATATATATATATATATAAATCCTTGAATTCCAGTGATTACTCGATGTCCATTTCAGTTGATTACATTTTAATTCTGCTCCATTTCTGAGTTAGTGTCTGTATGTATTCTGAAGTCAATTCCATCATATCCATGAGGCCATAGAAGACAGTGCAGTCAAGTCATATATATATATATATATATATATATTTATAAATTGTTTGGCACTGGTTGATTGTAGTCCAACAGAAAGGGACAGAGAGAAGGGGGGAAAGACATGCAGCAATGGAAGACACTGGAGTCAGACGCATGACTGTCGCATAGAGGTCTGTAGCCCCTGTATACAATGCGCCTGCTCTAACCTCCCAAAACTCCACTTTTGTCTTTTTTAAGTACTTTGTGACTATGTTGCCTATTTCAAGAAAACATTGGCACAGTAACAGACATCTACATGTCACTGTGTCTTTCTAATTTGTCCTTTCTTTCTTTCCTCCACATTGACAGAAAGGAGGCTCAGCTCATAACTGTGGCCAGCTAAAGGTTGGCCAGGTCATCCTAGAAGTCAATGGAGTTTCACTAAGAGGACAGGAACATGAAGAGGCTGCCCGAATCATTGCTGAAGCATTCAAGACCAAAGAGAAGGACCACATCGACTTACTGGTGGCTGATCTAGGGTTCTAAAAAAAGACAGTCACTCGGTACACTTTAATTGAAAAAGAAATTGTTATGCAACATTGAGAACTCTCAATTAATGCCCTCTATTACACATCTTCAATTCATTTCAGGGTTATAGATACCACAAAGATGTGTTGGATTTCTGTTAACTGCTCTATTTAGACATTTGTACAAGCTAATTAAAGAAAAGGATTAAAGATTAATATTTAATGACTCATAACTTAGTCGAAGGTTATTAGTTTAGTTTTATAACAGAAAATATTCTGTGTTTATGTTCTGTGTATTACAAGTCAGAGAAACATAATATTAAGGCAGAAATAAAAATCTTATCACACAAAACCATTTTTGAAATCATGGGAAAAAACTAATAATAATGAATTCAACAATGGAGAAGAAATAAATAGGCAGATGTGTTGCTACTTCTTAATTTGGCAATAGAAGCTATTTAGAGAATGTGATTTGTAAAATGTTACTATCACTAACATTTAACTAACTTCAAATCAAAATTCAGAAGACAACATGTGAATTTTGAAGATGCAGCATTCTCCAACTTCAAGAATACCCAAATGTTTACTCAAAAAGCTGATGGATAGAAATGGGAAGTCAACTCCTCACTGTCACTGGACAACTGATTAGTTCAGACTATTGAAAAACAATTTTTTAGGCTCTGGCTCACAGTTATGGAAAAAAGAAAGTTTTCATCCCTTTATTCTACAGCTTGTCGAAGCACCATTAGCAGCAATAGTTGTCAATTATTATCTTCTGCATAATGTTATTTATTTCTGGTGATAATTTCTGCTTTCAGCAACATCTGGAATCTTTTCTTAATCTAATTTGGTTAACTCAGTGACATCAAGGTGAGCAGATTGTAAGGCTGCAGAACACCTAATTAACTACCTCTAACCTTGAAAACCAGAATGATACATTGAGTCTTGCTTGGAATCAGCATTATGGCCATAAATTTACAAGTTTTTTGGTTCATCATTAAAGTCTTAAATCCAATTGCCAAATAAATTTTAGACAGTGGAGGTTTTCTTTGGACTGAATAAGTAATATCCAGTCCATCATTTGCCTGTATTGCTGCTGTTAATGGTAACATTTAGCATGCTAACGGAGGTTTACAGAGAAGGGGAGATGAAGGGGGAAAAGTTAGGACAATTTCAATGGCCCCTCACTGACAACAAAATAGTTGTTTATTTTTTTTATGCTTTTTTTAGTTTCCTATTGAAATAGAAAACAACTTGGGGGCCTTGTCAGTAACAAAATGTATGTATCTATTTTTGTTTTTATTGTTTTTCGCAGTAAAAATCAAATGTTACCACTCTCAATATTTGCATTGAACTCCCCTCCGGGTCTGCATGAAATGATTTGATCCGCACACTCGATGGTGAAGGTGTTCAGCAGTTACTATGCTGCCAAGAAAATTAATAAAGCCAGGCTTTCAAAAAGAGAGAGAAAAGTCAAGAGTATCTATTTGTAACCCAGTTTTTTCCAACCGAGGTGGATACAGTGTGACATTATCAACCTTTTCACTTTTATTACATTCTTTAATGAATGAGGGGGGAAAAAATACCAATCTATTCATATATTTTATCTATTTATATATTTTATCACATGTAACAGATGAGTTGCCACTCATTATTGTTAAGTGTTGTTAGGGACACCAAAATAAAACCTCTCTTCTGTCCCAGTGAAAAAGGTGAGCAAAACTAGGTTCAGTTAGCATCAAGCTAGTTAGCATTATTCCAGGGAATCTATGTGGATTTCTCCTGTCTTTCTGCTATTTTTACAGTTACACAACAAAAATAACATATTTATTACTGGCAGAAATTCAAACAATCTTCATAAAAGGATCATAACAAACAGCCTCCTGTCCATTAGCACACTTAGCAGTGAGTGAATGAAGTTGATTGACAGCGCTAAGACCCTCCTCCGGGTTCTGATTGATTGTTTTTGGTTGAAACGTTGCATTACTTTAGCTAGCAATAGTAGTTCCGGGAGCAGGTGGAAGAGTTTGATGTTTTCACAGATTATCCATATCTGGGAATTTGTCACGACATGGTGACAGCTTTAACTAAATTATAAGAAACATTATTGACATTACAAACATTGTTGAAGTTACACAGTGCAGCTTGAACAAAATACAACAACATAGCCTTTTTTTTTTGAGAAGTCTGGATTGCTTTGTGTATATTTTACATGTTGCCTGTGACTGTTGCACAGGCAACATGTGCAACGATTTACCGTTTACTGCTTAATGTGTAAATTATGTACTCTGGACTTAAGCAAAAATTTTTGCTTAAGCTAAAACTAACTTAAAAAAAAGAAGCAACCTATTTGCACACAGTATGCGGACTGTTGCATGTGACAATAAACTAAAAGTAGTTAATTAGAAGTACTAGTTGTACCATTTGAAGTAGTATCCGTTTTGGACCAGAGAAAGCAAGGCAGTTGCAAGCCTTCAAAATTGTGACGCTTTTGATGGGTCAGATAGAGCCAAGAAAATATGAGGGGGCCCAGTTTAATTTTTTTGTCATGGGGCCCAAGATTCCTGGCGGCACCCCTGATCATATCCATAGATTCAAGAGTATTGAATCTATGGATAAGATAGAAAATGTTAACCTCAATTTTAAAACATGCCCAAGCCAGGTTAGCAGAGAAGAATAAAAATTTGCACAAACAAAAATTACAATAGGGTTTTCTGTTGGAGTGGTTGAACATCTATGCTTTGCATTGCTTATTCTGCACACTCTGCAGGCTTGGAACCCTAAAATACTCAATTCAAAGGTAAAGCAACGAAGCCACTCTGTATTTATTTATGTTTTTAAAACAATTACCCAATCATGCAAAAACAGGGATGCAGTCAAGAGCTTACAGACCTTAATGAGCTCCTGCACCTGCTGATTCACAGGAAACTGATAAGACAGTCTGTTGTCCATCAAGAAGAGGAAGGATTCTAAAACTCCAAGAACCTAACTTGAGTTTTGAGTGTCTAAAATTTATATTAAATTTAGATTTTTTTTATTATTATTATTTTTTGCAATGTTTGATAAGATTTAAAAATGTAAAGTCATTAAAAAAGACAATATACATTTTACTGATCTAGAAGTGTTTTCTGGTAAACAAAACAGTTTTGTGTGTTATTTGTAGATATTCCATATTTCTGTAATAGTATTATTCTTTGAATTAGCAGCTATATTGCTGATTCAAATTATAAGAGTATGTAGGTAAAGGTGTACAGGTCTACAAGCCAAAAATATATTGAATTTAAAATAGTACTCTAAAAAAAGTCACAACAGAAAAATTAATCTATTAAAAGATTCAGACTTTTAATGCAGGTGGCTTATTTGCATCGCACGCCACCTATGGCAATAATGTAACGTAATTCCAGCCAGAATATGTGATCTTAGAATATATACTGTTACATTATATTTTAGGATGAATCTGTTGTGATTATCTTCTTGAAATGCAGTGATGTAGTCCAGCTACAGTCACATTGAGATGATTACTATAAAACATATATTTTAAAATGTTTTTTGAGTCAAGTAAGATTCTGATTCATGTCTGAAGTGTTGGTTTGATGATGTGCCATTTCAATGAAACATATAAACTACACAGAAATATATACTACATACAGAGACTGCACATAGATTTATAGAGGTATAGTTACAAAAAATAATAAAACTGTTGGACTATTATTTAACATTTCTGCCCAGTTAATTCATGTCTCTTCAACATCCCACTGGAGGTGTTTGATGCAAATGAAAAAGGAAAAATCCTCTTATATTTCTTTTAACTGCATCATAACACTTCAGTTAAGGTGCACTAAGTTTATAAGCACACAATAAAGTTTCTAATAAGATCTCATATTTCCATATTGCATAATTGACAGCGTTTTGACAAACTCAAGCCAGACTGTGGTACTTCATTGCTAACAGCAAAGATAGTCAGTTCAAGTTATCCACTCTAAATACCAATGTTGTATAAAGTACTGAAATCTCAGTGTCAAGTAAAAGTATAGGTACCTCTCCAAAATATGACTTTGGTAAAACTCCAAGTCACTGACTGAAATGTTACTTGAGTTAAAGTATTAAAGTACCTGAAACGTCTTGTACTTAAGTATGGAAATTACTGTAAAAATGGATGTACTCAAGTAATGTAATGAAAAGTACAAGTAAAAAGTAAAACAAGGCAAATGCAGTTTGAATGACATTTTTTATATTTTGGTAAACTTGTCAAATACACTTAAAATAATGTACAGAACCAAGTGCAGGCAAAATTAAACCTGCTAATAGATATACCTGCAGGAATCATTTATTTAAGAAAATTAGGTGCTTTACTTACCACAAGGTTAACTTAACCTGCTTTAGGTTAACTTAACCTGCTTTACAACTGAACCAGCTTTTTAATAAACCCTCCAGGACAGAAAATACAAAGTTTTTGTAAGCCTTAAGTTTTTCCTTTCAGTAAGGTCAGTGATGAAAATGAGAAAAATAAATAGTGGCCAAAATGCGGCCAACATGAAGAAAAAAAGCCGTTACGATTACTCTACTTCACAAACTATAGGTGCACACAACTGGTCATTATGCAAAAGAAAAAAAGAATTGGGAGGGAAATGCAGCTTATTTGGCATCTGAAGAGGGAGAGCTTTATTGCTAACTTGGTGTTTAATGGGAGAAGCGAAACAGACCTCCGTGAAGCTGACACCCCACCTACTCAAATAATCCAGCAAATAGTCTGATTGGTTAGTGCTCCGTTTGTGCTCCGTTTGTGCCGTTAAAATGTTCATTTGTGCAGCTTTGGTTTCCGAGATATTAAAAATAATTTTTTAGTCCATCCAAAATATATACTTTTTAAGATTACAATTACTGAAAATATTGAGTATGACTAAAAATTCACTAGAGAACAGTGTGTCTCGTGGAACTGCATGAATTTTGTGTCAGTTGGTCACAAGGCAAGAAATCTATTTCCATTAGTTTCTCAGGAGAGTTTGGATGTAAAATTTGTTGACTCTCCCTGAGTGAAACTCCGACACCTTGAGGAAGGGGGAGACCTAGAGAACGGCTGGCCAAAATTAGCGTTCGTGAATCGGATCACCCTTGAGCCTATTGGTGGTGATGAACAAGCCCAGGCAAACAGGCTTTGTTGCAGTCGATCAGTAGGTGGGACCAAAACACTGGCGTTTCTCTCTCGCTTTTTTGTAACGTAACGAGTAACTAAACCACACATTGAAAATGTATCGGAGTAAAAGTATGCAATTAAGTTCGGAAATGTAGTGAAGTAAAAGTGAAAGTTATCAAAAAATTTCTTACTCGAGGAAAGTATGAAGTACTCCAAAATATACTTAAGTAAAGTAGTGAAGTATTTTTACTTCGTTACTATACAACACTGCTAAATACACTTGAAAATAGTCTGCTTTCAATAGGGATTTCACTTTAATAGAACCTCCCTTTTCCATTCAATACAAGGCCTACTTATACTCATTACGCCTTCATGTATTCAGGGGTTCAACCAAAGATAGAAAGCTGGTCATGCAGGCCGTTGATGGACTGTGTTAGAATAGTATTGTGTCATGTCCAATGTCCTAATGGAACATGGATGACTGCAGTTTCAGGAAAAGCTGAAAAGGCTGATAAAGTTATTGATTATTGTTGAAATAATATTTTAAATTAGCACAATACTGCACCGGATAGTTTTGATACATATGAAATATACCATAGAAAGTTAAAGTACACTCTACATTCACATAAATTTAGATAAAGATCCAAACTAAAACAACTGCTGAATCTCTGAACTTATAAATTCTTAGGGAGGATTCTACAGAAAAGACAGGCCTAGAATCTCTTTACACAGAGAGTCTGTCTGCCAGGCAATTAACAAATTCCTTAGCATGGTTCAAAAGTTCACTAGGATCTTAAAACTTTTTATAAATAATTTTATCTATATTAGAATTAACTATATTTCTTTAAGCATGTTTTTAATTAGTTACTTATTAGATCCAAACTTATAGTCATTATTTAGCATTACATTGTGTGCAAGCTTGGTTAAAAATACAAACTACTTTCTTGTGGAAACATTTGAGGCACAGATAGCACTGCAGCTGCAATCATATATCAAACTGGACAGCGGCTGATACGAGAAGGGTTTGCCGTATATCTGCTTTTGGGGCTCTTTAGCAGGAGGTAATAAAATTAACATTGAGACAGCCCACACAAAGGAAAAGAACACACCTCCTAATGCATATATTTAAATGAGGAGAATATGCAGTCTATAAAAAATGGTTTGTTTCACAGCAGAAGTTGGAATCTCTTTGTGCTGAGTGAGAGTTTCCCGGAGGATGCATCTTCTGTTATTCTTTTGTCTTTTTTACTCAGTTCTTTGTCTCTGTTTTGTAATATCTTGGACTTTTGCTCTAGGTGAGAGGCTTATTGTAAAGTTCTTCTTGGATTG